ACAGATCAGACGTGCAGCATCGAGGCTGAAGCTACAGATCAGACGTGCAGCATCGAGGCTGAAGCTACAGATCAGACGTGCAGCATCGAGGCTGAAGCTACAGATCAGACGTGCAGCATCGAGGCTGAAGCTACAGATCAGACGTGCAGCATCGAGGCTGAAGCTACATGGTGTTATATAAGGTCACTGATGAACCCTCGATATGATCTGTAGCTCCTGAGGTCTCACCCAGAGCAGCGAGTCTCTGCAGCTCCTCCTCGTTCTCCGTGTTGTGCGGGCGTCCGATCTGAAGAACCTGGTTCTGCCCGTCGCTGCTCGACTTACACAGAAGAGCCCGGTTGGTTCCTGAAGACACGGGAACACATGCAGACAGTCACAAAACAGCAGGGAGGAGGACTTTTAAAGGTTACCTATTATGCTAAATCCACTCATTCAAGTTGAATCGGTCGCGGGAGGTGTGAACAGGTGCCGTAAAGAGACCACGGTGCGGGACACAGCAACCTGAGGAGGGCGCCGCGAATGCCCGACGGCCTCTGACTCCCAAAATCGGGTTGGTGTGTCAGGGCCTTTAAGATAAGGGGAGGAACGTCTTCATATAAATAGGCATGTCTTCAAATTCTTTACTCATCAGTACAAACCCAAAGATTTACACTTTAAATTGATATAAAAAGTTTTAAAAAGTGTGCAATCTCCAGACATAAGAAGCTGAAAAATAAATGTTCTGCCTCAAAAGTAATTATGATTTTTCTGTAAATATGCTAATCGTTGCCATTAAAAAGTAATTTAACTTTAATGTAATTTAACTTTAATTTAATATAACACACACACACACACACAAACACACACACACACACACACACACACACACACACACACACACACACACACACACACACACACACACACACACACACACACACACACAACACACACACACACACACACACACACACACACACACACACACACACACACACACACACACACACACACACACACACACACACACACACACACACCACACACACACAACACACACACACACACACACACACACACACACACACACACACACACACACACACACACACCACACACACACACACACACACACACACACACACACACACACACACAGGAAGTTTCCTGAAAAGAAATACTTTTGTGGAATAACAGCGGCTCCTCTGTGCGTGTGTGAGTGTGTGTCGGTAACTCACCCCATGTAACCTTGAATGCGCAGATGTTCTTCATTATGATTATTATTACTGTCTGCTTCTTATGGGCACTATTTAATATTGTAACATACTGTACAATAAAACTCAGTATATATACACACTTTGAATACTGTTATCTGTCCGCTATCTACATGTTCCACTTTATAATACTGCTACTTGAGGTGTCTTCCTTGTATTGATTTGTATTATTTATAATGTGTGATCCATTAAATCCTGTGACCCTGCAGGCGGGGAAATATTAGTATCATCACTGAGCAATCCGGGGAAACGAAAACAGACATCACAACACGTAGCTTCACCGAGGAAGCTTTTTACCTTAGCTGTTGTTCTGATCAAAAGTTGTCTTCAATGGCATCAAAACGATAAAAACGCAGCTGAAGGTGAATCCAATGTGTCTGTGTCACTTTGAAATGATTTATGATCATCTTCATATTTACTAGTTTGAGCCTCGGTTTCAGTTTACAGAGCATAACATAGCTTTCGACTTGCTGCGCGTAAATCTCACTCCTCCTCAATGGTAACGTGTGTGTGTGTATGTGGAACTTCCCCTTCGATTCTATTGGCTCTAACGGTTCAAAGGAGGTGTCAATCACCAAAATCGACCAATGGGTTCCAGAGAAACGGCAAATCCACCCAAAAGGTGTTTTTTTTTTTCTAAACCTCTCTAAAAAAAGGTCAAATGTCACTTGTTTTGCATCAATCTTGATACAGGGTACTTATTATATGTTATAGTTTGGATTCCTAAAGCTTTTAGTCTACTAACCCATCATCCAAGGGTAGTTTTCACTATAAGTACTTTTTTTTTTTTTTGGACGGACACTATAATTTACAGTTTTTTACTATGTTCAATCTGAATTTACTTTAAAATAAAAAACATCTATATTGATTCTGACTCTTCTACATCCAACTCACAGGTTTATAATTACTTTGAGAAAAAAGATTATTCATTTAACCCTTTTAGAAGGGAAGATATGGTCATTTGTTCTGGGAATGTCATTTTCGAGCCTGAGACCTGAAAAACAGGCTCAGGGCTTAAGAGGTTAAAGATTTCTGATTCTGTTTCTCTCTTTCTAGCAGACACTCTGTAAGGAACACAGGGATTTTAGCGTTTGCAGACCATTTACATGCACTAAAACCTAAAAAATACACTAAAGGAAAGGGAACACCACAACAAGCAGAAGAGGGCCTCTTTAAGTAAAAAGGGTCGGGTTTAACAAATGAAAAACTATATACAAATATCTAAATTTGTATTCTTTGGTCACCTTAGAGGCACGCGAGAAAAACATAGTGTTTCTTCAAGGATTAAAGGTAAAAGCGGGAGAATAAGGACTGCGTTTGACTTTGTCCTTAAAGCAGATCTCCGTTCACATGATACTGCACCTTTAATTGAACAGAAATGGACAAAAAAGAATAAATTCCATAACTGTAAGACTTAAAGGGGATCTATCATGCAAAATGCACTTTTTGATGTCTTTTATACATAAATATGTGTCCCCGGTGTGTCAGGGAACTCACCAAGTGTCAGAAAACAAACCTATCGTCTCCGGCACACGTGACGCGTCCCAACCTATCGTCTCCGGCACACGTGACGCGTCCCAACCTATCGTCTCCGCCACACGTGACGCGTCCCAACCTATCGTCTCCGGCACACGTGACGCGTCCCAACCTATCGTCTCCGGCACACGTGACGCGTCCCAACCTATCGTCTCCGGCACACGTGACGCGTCCCAACCTATCGTCTCCGGCACACGTGACGCGTCCCAACCTATCGTCTCCGGCACACGTGACACGTCCCAACCTATCGTCTCCGGCACACGTCCCAACCTATCGTCTCCGCCACACGTGACACGTCCCAACCTATCGTCTCCGGCACACGTGACACACGTCCCAACCTATCGTCTCCGCCACACGTGACACACGTCCCAACCTATCGTCTCCGCCACACGTGACACGTCCCAACCTATCGTCTCCGCCACACGTGACACACGTCCCAACCTATCGTCTCCGCCACACGTGACACGTCCCAACCTATCGTCTCCGGCACACGTGGCACGTCCCAACCTATCGTCTCCGGCACACGTGGCACGTCCCAACCTATCGTCTCCGGCACACGTGGCACGTCCCAACCTATCGTCTCCGGCACACGTGGCACGTCCCAACCTATCGTCTCCGGCACACGTGACACACGTCCCAACCTATCGTCTCTGGCACACGTGACACGTCCCAACCTATCGTCTCCGGCACACGTGGCACACGTCCCAACCTATCGTCTCCGGCACACGTGACACACGTCCCAACCTATCGTCTCCGCCACACGTGACGCGTCCCAACCTATCGTCTCCGGCACACGTGACACACGTCCCAACCTATCGTCTCCGGCACACGTGACACGTCCCAACCTATCGTCTCCGGCACACGTGACACACGTCCCAACCTATCGTCTCCGCCACACGTGACACACGTCCCAACCTATCGTCTCCGCCACACGTGACGCGTCCCAACCTATCGTTTCCGGCACACGTGACGCGTCCCAACCTATCGTCTCCGGCACACGTGACACGTCCCAACCTATCGTCTCCGGCACACGTCCCAACCTATCGTCTCCGGCACACGTGACGCGTCCCAACCTATCGTCTCCGGCACACGTGACGCGTCCCAACCTATCGTCTCCGGCACACGTGACGCGTCCCAACCTATCGTCTCCGCCACACGTGACGCGTCCCAACCTATCGTCTCCGGCACACGTGACACACGTCCCAACCTATCGTCTCCGCCACACGTGACACGTCCCAACCTATCGTCTCCGGCACACGTGGCACGTCCCAACCTATCGTCTCCGGCACACGTGACACGTCCCAACCTATCGTCTCCGGCACACGTGACACGTCCCAACCTATCGTCTCCGGCACACGTCCCAACCTATCGTCTCCGCCACACGTCCCAACCTATCGTCTCCGGCACACGTCCCAACCTATCGTCTCCGGCACACGTCCCAACCTATCGTCTCCGGCACACGTGACGCGTCCCAACCTATCGTCTCCGGCACACGTGACGCGTCCCAACCTATCGTCTCCGGCACACGTCCCAACCTATCGTCTCCGGCACACGTCCCAACCTATCGTCTCCGGCACACGTGACGCATCCCAACCTATCGTCTCCGGCACACGTGACGCGTCCCAACCTATCGTCTCCGGCACACGTGACGCGTCCCAACCTATCGTCTCCGGCACACGTGACGCGTACCAACCTATCGTCTCCGGCACACGTGACGCGTCCCAACCTATCGTCTCCGGCACACGTGACGCGTCCCAACCTATCGTCTCCGGCACACGTGACGCGTCCCAACCTATCGTCTCCGGCACACGTGACGCGTCCCAACCTATCGTCTCTGTAACTTCACAGACATGTTTTGTATAGGTATGGCCCTACAATATATTTTTCAAATATAGCATAAGAGGTCCACTTTAAGTTTGATGCACAAGGATGAGAGATAAACTGGAATATTCCCAATCACAGCTCTCCGTCTCAGTTTATACTAAAAATAGAAACGAGCGTCGTCTCGGAGGAGAAGCAAAAGAGCAGAGGGAGAAATGTGAGAAAAGGGAAAAATCAATTAATGTACGAATGTAGACTCTTATCTTCTGAGATTATAAATCAATTCACAACTGCTTATAATGGATTTTTAAAAAGGTTATTTCTACAGAGGAAGGTAGATATCGCTTCTGATGCACAGTAATCCTACACAAGGGAAGTTGTGCTCAACATTACGGTGTTATTAGTTAAAATATCCCACTAAATACCAGTTTATTTTTAAAGTTTCTTCTCAACAAAAGTAACTTGATATCGCTGTAATGTTACAAACCAACTCCTGGATGTCACTATAGATAATAATGAAGATGTATCTCTTCAAGGTATTATTAAATACCAGTTTAACAGGTCATTTTGTGTACAATTTATACTTGAAATTAACCAGTTTTTGAAAAATATAACCTTAAAAAAACGAATAATCATTGAATGAAATATAAAAAAAGAGCCTTTGTGTGTTTACATTATAGCAAACAGTTGATGTGACTTTTACAAATATATAAATGTAATAGTCTATCACACACAAACTGAAAGGAAACTCTGTGATTGTGATATTTAAAAGCAAGTCCTAAACCTGTGTTAGCCTGACATCTACTGGAGAAAAGCAGCAAAAAGTGGAACATGTAGAAATTCTTAGGAAGCCATAAACATATTTCCCAGCGCTAGAAATATGAAGAATAAACAAATATTTTGAATAATAACTTTTGTAGAAGTATTAAATCATAATGTCTCATTGCAAATACAAAACACTGCAAGAAGCTCAAAACAGCTGGGAGACCAGGGGTGTGTGTGCGTGTGTGTGTGCGTGCGTGTGCGTGTGCGTGTGCGCGTGTGCGTACCAACACTGGCGATGTACAGCTTGTCGTTGAGGATCAGAGCCACCACAGCTGTTGCTCCTCCTGAAACCTCCAGCTCCAACTCCTTCAGACGCTCCTGAACCTTCTGACCCTGAGAGGAGAGCTGGTGGAACGACAAGTTCTGAGGAAGAGGAGGAGGAGGAAGAGGAGGAAGAGGAGGAGGAAGAGGAGGAGGAGGGAGGATAATAGGTAGAGAAAAAGTAGGCAAAGGGAGAAGAACAATCGTTAGCCAGACTTTAGGGGATAAAGAGGGAATGAACGAAGATGTGACGCAACCAGAACGCAAAAGAAAAACATGCCTAGAGAACCGTAATGGGTTTAGGACTCATTCCTGCACCTCTCTACAGTGTGAGGTAGAGAAAGGAGGGGTTAAGTGAGGAGAAGAGATGGCAGGAATAAAGAAAAGAGCAGCTTATCTAATGAAAACAGGCCGGTTATAACATATCAATGGACGAGCATTAGCTCACTGCGAAGTCCAAATCTGCAGTTTCTATGGAACAAGCACAGAAACCCCTCTTCCCAATTCTCAGCCAAGTCCGTCAATATGCTGTGTGTGTGTGTGTGTGTGTGTGTGTGTGTGTGTGTGTGTGTGTGTGTGTGTGTGTGTGTGTGTGTGTGTGTGTACCTCGTTGTGTGGCAGCAGGTAGTTGGACAGGTTAGCTTTCTCGGCCAGAGCGTCGTCGATCGTCTCAAAGTAACTTTTCTCCACCACGTCGAAGGCCTGTCACGATGAAAGCGTTAAAATGTCTTGTTCTGAGAAACACAATACTCTAAGTGCTGGAGCTGTATTAAGATGTACAGGCAGGTGTGCATTCTCTTTCATATCCTCCCTTTATATAACTTTTAGTGGACGTACACTAACCGTTGGTCACTTTTTCATAACAACATGTGAACAACGGGTCCAGGTTGAACCAGGTGAGATGAGGTCAATGAACGCACCTGAGTGAGGATCCGTCTCACGTCGCTGTCTGAGTGCGAGGAGTTGAGCTGACCCAGCAGCAGCTCAGCCGTCAGACACTGAGAGGCGAAGCTGGCGACTCTGCTGCCGTCGTAACCGTTAAAAACTCCGTACAGGAAGCAGCCGTCCTCGCCTCTGATTGGTGGAGGACAGAAACAACTTAAACAACTGCAGGAAAGTTAAGGGAAGGTACAAATACAAAACATCCTTCAATTGAAAAGTATTTTCATTGTTGTGTGATTTGTTTTGACTAAACAACTAAATATAACACAGTAAACATATAATATTTAACAATTTGTATATCTTATGTTTAAGTTCCTTTCAATGTTGAAGTGCAGACGCTTTAAACTTCACTGCATGGATATTTGCAGCAACATGACCCAGCATGTCAGTCACCACACATGTCCTGAAAAACTAGACTCATGTCTTATTGACTGTAACACCCCTGATGTGCAATAACGATACCACACGTTGTGCAATATCCCCTCCAGCAATTCACCATGCTGTACCTATCTGCCATTTGTTTCTTTTACCCATTGTGTGTCTTAGTATTAGGAACATGTGCATACTTAGTTCTTTTTAAATATCTAAGTCTATTCTCCTCACTTTCTCTGTTGTAATAATAAGGTAAATGTCCCGTTTGCTGGACGGGATGCCTCTCAATCCTCCCTTAAGACCGACAGGAGGAGTGTTTCTGTGCATGCAGAGACCCTGCTTTAATGTCCTTCATATGTTGGAGGGCTGTGCGATTATGGCAAAAATCATAATCACTATTATTTTGGTCAATAATTGATATCACGATTATTCATTGACTTTGAAAACGTCAATTTATTGAACTTTAAAACAAATTAAAATAATAATTTGAACAGTATCTGTTTAACTGTTGATTACCCTGAACGTATCATTCAACTGAAAAACCAATCAATTAAATAAATGATACATTTAAATAAATTATATAAAAATACCAATAAAAAAAGAACAAATATTTTGGAGCGCACTTCCACAAGCTACTAAACATATATAAATATGATAAATAAATTAGACTATAAAATAAATTAGATCAAATATGTTGCAGTGCCCGGTCACAACCAAGCAAAGCAAAATAATCGTTTTTTTCGATTATTTTGTTTTTGTAATTGTGGCAGGCCAAAATCGTAATTGCGATTAAAAAACGATGAATTGCACAGCCCTAATATTTTGTGTCCGTGTCGTCCTTCTCTAAAAACGTAGTGCCACATCGTAAGCATGCGACCAACCAGTGGACATTTTGAAACGCCGGCTAAAGACACATCTTTTTGGATTAGCTTTTGATTAGCAACCCCCCACTTCGAGCTGCATGTGATGCTTTACATGACATGTCACTTGTTAGACGCTTTTATCCAAAGCGACTTACATACTCAATACTGTGGACAATCCCCACAGGAGCACTTTGGGGTGAAGTGTCTCAGGGACACAACGACATGCTGACTGCAGTGGGGTTTGAACCTGTTCTCCCCTGATCCCAACACCAAGGCTCTATCCACTGCGCCACACGCCTCATGTATGGAAAGAGCTATACGAAAGAGGCGGACACAACGCCGGAAAAGGTACATGTTTGTGTTGTGAGCACAGCGACTACTGTCGGAGCCTGAATACGCACGTGATCTCAGCAACTTCAACATTTCATAGATGTAGTATTTTGTCTTTGCGTTCGTCCCTGTGAACTGACAAGATGGTGCATGACGTCATTCTGTTTGATGAGTGTTGTCGGAGCCTCTCCCTTAGTTCATGTGTATTATTTATTTAATTGGAGTGTGTTACTCCAGCTTAGTGGCGTTGTTGATTGAAGCATACGGTCATTAGACCTTGATTTGTTGGCAGCGTGTGACACTATAGCTTGGTTCTTTATTTGTCTTTTTAGTATCAGTTTAAAGTGGACCTATCATGCTATATTTGAATAATATAGTGTAGGACCATACCTATATAAGGCATATTTATACTTTTTCTTTTTCAAAATACCAAACAGATCATGCATTTTAGCCATGCCTCATTTCGCTCAATTTGCACTTTTTTAGCTCTGTTTTTGCAAGGGCTGATTCAGTGAGAACAGCACCATCTACAGGCCTGGCATATGTACTACAGCGTCTCCAGCGCTTTCAAACGGCAATGGCCGTGGCTGTCTCCTCCTGATTGGTGGAGTTGGCCCAATAGCCGTAGCGCCACCGTCCTGACGTCAGGACAGTGTTCAAATCTGGATCAGTTTTTATCAGATCCGTTGCAGCCCCTTTTTTAGAGATTTGGGTATGGAGGAAAATAGAGAGGGTTGTGTTTTCTGACACTTGGTGAGTTCCCTGGAACACCGGGGACACATATTCATGTAGAAAAGACGTACAAAAGTGCATTTTGCATGATAGGTCCCCTTTAAGGAGGAAAAAGTTTGTTTGAAATCGTTTGCATCACCTGTTGGAATACACGGTCATTATTTTATTTTCCAATCGTTAGAAAAGTGTGAAAAGAACTATAATTTCACAGGAAGACGAGGGGGAGAGGAATGTGAGAATCTGGTGAGGGGTATTTCCAAATATCTGCAACTCTGACTACTTTTAAATCCAGGCTGAAGAGCTGCTTTTAATGAAACTGTTCACATCTCACACTGTGACCTTTATTCATGTTTTATTATCTTTGCTTTCTAATGTTTCTAATGTGTTTTATGCTCTGAATGTCTTTCAATGCCTTGCCTTGCCTTTAGACAATCCTATTCTCTCAACAACAAGCATCTTATCATCTGTCAGAAATGGATATTGCGGTCCCTAAAAGTGTGTAACTGCCTGTCGCTGGTGGGTAGATTAAGCTTTTCTCTGTTGTGTCTCAGAGCTTTGAGTCTCAGAGCTTTGAGTCTCAGAGCTTCGAGTCTCAGAGCTTCGTGTCTCAGAGCTTCGAGTCTCAGAGCTTCGTGTCTCAGAGCTTCGAGTCTCAGAGCTTCGTGTCTCAGAGCTTCGAGTCTCAGAGCTTCGAGTCTCAGAGCTTCGAGTCTCAGAGCTTCGAGTCTCAGAGCTTCGTGTCTCAGAGCTTCGTGTCTCAGAGCTTCGTGTCTCAGAGCTTCGTGTCTCAGAGCTTCGAGTCTCAGAGCTTCGTGTCTCAGAGCTTCGTGTCTCAGAGCTTCGTGTCTCAGAGCTTCGTGTCTCAGAGCTTCGAGTCTCAGAGCTTCGAGTCTCAGAGCTTCGAGTCTCAGAGCTTCGAGTCTCAGAGCTTCGTGTCTCAGAGCTTCGTGTCTCAGAGCTTCGTGTCTCAGAGCTTCGTGTCTCAGAGCTTCGTGTCTCAGAGCTTCGAGTCTCAGAGCTTCGAGTCTCAGAGCTTCGTGTCTCAGAGCTTCGAGTCTCAGAGCTTCGAGTCTCAGAGCTTCGAGTCTCAGAGCTTCGAGTCTCAGAGCTTCGAGTCTCAGAGCTTCGTGTCTCAGAGCTTCGTGTCTCAGAGCTTCGTGTCTCAGAGCTTCGAGTCTCAGAGCTTCGAGTCTCAGAGCTTCGTGTCTCAGAGCTTCGAGTCTCAGAGCTTCGAGTCTCAGAGCTTCGAGTCTCAGAGCTTCGTGTCTCAGAGCTTCGAGTCTCAGAGCTTCGAGTCTCAGAGCTTCGAGTCTCAGAGCTTCGAGTCTCAGAGCTTCGAGTCTCAGACCTTCGTGTCTCAGAGCGTCGTGTCTCAGAGGTTTGAGTCTCAGAGCTTTGAGTCTCAGAGCTTCGTGTCTCAGAGCTTTGAGTCTCAGAGCGTCTCAGAGCTTCGTGTCTCAGAGCGTCTCACCTGAAGCGCAGGTGTCCGTCCTCGTTGGGATGGATCTGACTTCCTTTCCCGTCCGAGCCGTACACACAGTTTGTTGCGGTCCCGACGCCACACATCTCACACAGCGGCAGGTCGTCTGTCCAGCTCTGATGCTGAGAGGGGAAGATATATAATATAAATACTAAAAAGGTCAACAGATTCTAAGTCTCAGAACTGAGTAAAACATATACCGAGCGACAGAGGTGGGAAGTAGTGGAGTACTAATACTTTGTTACTGTACTTAACTACATGTTTCTGGTATCAGTACTTTACTCCACTACTTATTTTTCTGACCACTTTTTACTTTCTACTTCTTGTTGAACACAAATACCTGTACTTTCTACTTCTTACATTTTGAACACAAATACCTGTACTTTCTACTTCTTACATGTTGAACACAAATACCTGTACTTTCTACTTCTTACATGTTGAACACAAATACCTGTACTTTCTACTTCTTACATGTTGAACACAAATACCTGTACTTTCTACTTCTTACATGTTGAACCCAAATACCTGTACTTTCTACTTCTTACATGTTGAACCCAAATACCTGTACTTTCTACTTCTTACATGTTGAACACAAATACCTGTACTTTCTACTTCTTACATGTTGAACCCAAATACCTGTACTTTCTACTTCTTACATGTTGAACACAAATACCTGTACTTTCTACTTCTTACATGTTGAACCCAAATACCTGTACTTTCTACTTCTCACATTTCCCAAACAGGCTGGTTCCTTTAGTTTGAATGTGTGTTTGGTGGCGTGATCATTATTATTTAGAGTCATTGCGTGCCTATTGATTTGAACACGATCCGTGTATCCATCATTTCCTGGTCTTCTCTAAAGAAGAGGGACCAATGAAAACGTTGTCATGTTGCCGTTGTTCAACATTCATTAGCTAACAATGACATTATTGTTCTATTAATATAAAGGGAGGTCAGGTACTCTTTAAAACAGCTGCTAGTTATGGGTACTTTTTACTGAAGTACATTTCAAAGCCCATACTCCTTTACTTTTACTTGAGTAAAGAAGTTTAGTCAGTACTTCTACTTTTACCGGAGTATTTTTAAGCACGAGTATCTGTACTTCTACTTTTACTCAAGTACAAGATCTGAGTACTTCTACTTTTACTCAAATACAAGATCTGAGTACTTCTACTTTTACTCAAGTACAAGATCTGAGTACTTCTCCCTCTGATACTTTCTCTCTCAGTGTCAGGTCTCTGGTTCTATACTCAATGGACAGACAAAGATATTAAGTGAAATATCCTTTAATTAAAGCCTCGTTATGAACTGCAGTGATCCATTATAGTCCTGTATGTACCCTAATATGAGAAAATACTTTAAAATGCAATCATAATCCTTAGAAAAAGAGCCATTACACAGGAAATAGACAAACCTCCTACTACTGTTCATCGCTCGGTAAATGTGTTACACCTATCTGAGACTCACAATCTCTTAAAATGTTTAGTATTTTCCTCATAATCTTTGTACTTTGTGATTGTTTATGGGACTATAAAGAATCACTACGGTTTACAACGAGGTTTAATTAAAGGATATTTCACCTAATATCGTTGTCATTGTCTCTACATTGAGTAGTTAGAACCACAGCCCTATAAGGAATACAATCACAAAGAGCAAAGTTTAGGAGGAAAAAGCCTAAAAGGTAAACCGATTAGCAGTCTCAGAAATGAATAAAACATACACCGAGATGTGGACAGTTAAACCCCGTAACATAATCAGTTTATTCATCCTATTTCTAGTTAAATAAGTCGACTTTTCCTGGGTTTTAGACACTAATAAATCCCATTAAAGTTAGCAAAGCTAGCTAACTGTTAGCAAACCACAAGAAAAACTCATCTAAACTAGCTGTCATTAGCATCCTTAAACACCGACAAACAGAAGAAGACAAACCCAGCCGACCACATGGGGAGATAAGGGAGACTTAAACACTCTTTATGGGTATTTTAACATCAATATTTAAGTAATAAAGAAGGTTTAAAAGGAGGTTTTTCTCACGCTTTGCATCAAATTCCTCCGCTGGGCCGCCATGTTGAACTCGTTGCGTTCACGAACTCATTTGAAAGTCCGAACTTCAACGATTTGATGCAGAAAAAAACCTAACTTCCTACTTTTAAGTGCAAAATAATATAATTTGATTTGATTTGTTATTTATATTTAGTTCAGGTGTTGGCGAGGACTTCTACATTTATTTTGTGTTGTGTTTATCTCGTTTATGTATCATTTTATACAAGATTACTAAACAATAATCATGCTTTCCCTAATTTCCGACAGCCCATTAACGCCGCATCCATGTAATTTTGTCAAACTTGGTATTTTATGTTTTTTATTTCCGTGTGTTTTCTCTACATTTGATATTTTTAAAGGTTACATGATAACACAAACTGAGCTCATTTAAAAAGGTTCGAAGAAAGCCATCAGTTCCGTGTTGTTGCCACGCTGGATTTATTTGACAATACCGCCACCCAATGGGATTATTATAAATGACAATAATAAACCACATGCATTACATTACATTATATGACATTCCATGTTACTTGTTAGATACTTTCATCCAAAGCGATTTACACACATTCATCAAAACCAGCCCACAGAGATTACAAATATGGCCACTCTCTGGTTTAAAATGCCTTTTTTTATCATAAAAATGTCAGTAATGGACTCAGCATCCTCAATAACCCCCCAAAACCCAAATAGGCCAAGCTGTTTTTGAACAATAGCCCCAACATATGCAATTTAGCATCCATTACATTACATATAATTTAGCTGATGCTTTTATGCAAAGCGACTAGCAATAAGTGCAAAAATCTTAAAGGATCAAACTCCGAACAAGAAGGAAAGTGCAGATATATTCACTTCAAGCAAGATCATACCATAGTAAGTGCTGGTGAATTAGTTAGAAGGCCTAAATTAACTCAATAAGTGCTTATTTTTGTTGTTGCAATAACTGAATTGCTAAGGTACAGTCAAGATAGATGCGTTTTCAGTTTTCAACGGAAGATATGCAGAGTTTCTGCTGTCCTGATGTCAAAGGGAGCTCATTCCATCCTTTAGGAGCCAGGACAGCAGGTGTGTTTTTGAGGGGAGTCCCACTCCCAGAGATGGAGTAGCGGGGAGGTTGTTCACAGCTTCTATGTGCTGGGGACCCATACTATACATTTATATCATAACACTTTGGGGTACTCAACATTTCAGGGTACACAACAGGACTCTATGAGATGCAAACTTTAATGTATTTATTTTTGGAATATGCTCTAATCCAGAGGTAGATAAACATTATATTTAAATGTAAACTAGCTCTTAGCAAAGCAGTAACATGTCCCGCATTGTCCCGCACAGACTTAATTTTGTCCCACATTTGGCTTGTTGGCACCTGGTCAGCGGCGCCCCTGCAGACGATGTTGGTCACAGTTCTTCCGTCTGCAGACACTCTTTGGGGATTTGTGGCAAATGTGGGGATGAGTGGTGCTGCGGTAGAAACTGTGAGAAAGTGAGATTAAAATAGGTCCAAGAGAATAATGTATGACGAAGAAGAGCCAAAGTTAGGGATAGGGTCATGAGGTCCAGTCACTTCAAATGAATGCATCTTTAAAAGTAGAGCGATGCGATAGGAGCGTTTAGAGCGAAGCGAATATTCGCATCGCGTCCGGTGTGAACGCAGCATAAGCCTTAACGAGCTGCTCAATACACACTGATGTTAAAATCTGAAGAAAGCCTCTTTACCAAGCTCCAAACTAAGTTAAATATCTCCAAAAGTGTAAAAGATATCAAAATTCGGAAGAACAAGTGTTATAGCTGAAGGTCTTGTGATCATTTTAAAGTTGGAATGAAGTCTCTAGCTGAAAGTATGTGGAAGGAGAAGCATTTGGCGTAAGGTCTAGTTAAAAGAGGATTTGAAGTCTCCTCCCATTGACTTCCATGTTAAAAAAAGAGTGTAAAAAGCTGAATATTTCAAAAAGTCTAAAATATTTTTTTTAAGTTGAAGGTTTCCCATTGATTCCTGAAAAGGCTGAATAGTTTAATATTTGAATGGTTTCTGTAACTGAAAATAAGCTGAAGTTATGGAGAGCCAAAGTATTGGTGAAATAACTAGAAAATGCATTTCCTGCAGAAAATGCGTGTGAATGCTGTAAACTGTGAACATTTGTGGCGGAATTTAGCTGAAAATGCAGAAAAAGCTGAATATTTTATTAGCTGAATGGTAGCTGCTTTTAGCTACAAAAAAACAAGTCAGTGTGTTGCTGAACTTAGCGGAGAAATGCAGAAAAGTGAAATGATTTGAATCAAATTGTTACAGCTCAAATGCATTGCAATAACTTTGTTGAAAACTTGAAAGTGAAATGTTAAACTGGAAGAGTAGGACAAATAGTGAAGAAGCTTAATATTTAAAAGAAAAGGTTTAAAAAAGGTATAAACAACTAAATGTATAGCCTCAATGTCCTGAAATAGCTGAATAAGTTAATAGTTGAATAGTTTCTGCAGCTGAAAGTAGGCTGAAGAAGTTAAATATTAAATGTAAGTAGTAGTGAATGAATGTTTACAAACACCTGTGTGTGTAAGCCCAGAGATCAAAGGTTACCATGGTGATGTGCTGTGAAAGGAGAGCCTTTCCATTTGATCTGAAGGAGAGTTTTTGTCTCTTCATGCCCTCAAGAGGCATTTTGTTTAATATTTTTTCTTAATTTGTTTTTATTTTCCAACCTAGGAGAGGTTTTCCTACGTTTTTCTTGAAAAATTATGTCTGAGGAGTGTAGGGTTTGGGAATTATGGCAAGTTTAAAACATTTTTTTGGGAGAATTTCAAGCACTCCTCCACTCTGTTTTCAGATCAAAGCACTCTAGACTTAACGAGCTGCTCCATCCACACTAATGTTAAAATCTGAAAAAGGCCTCTCTACCAAGCTCCAAACTAAGTTAAATATCTCAAAAAGTGTAAAAGATATAAAAAATCGGAAGGAGACGCATTTGGCGTAAGGTGTAGGAAAAGAGGATTTGAAGAGTCGTCCCATTTCCCATCGATTCCTGAAAAGGCTGAATAGTTTAACATTTGAATGGTTGCTGTAGCTTAAAGTATGCTGAAATTATGGAGAGCCAAAGTATTGGCTGAAATAAGAAGATGAAGGGGAAGAATAAAGATTTGAAGTACTATAGTGGAATGCTGTAAACAGCATTCCACTATAGTACTTCACTAATAACAACTTAGGTGCTCTTTCTTTCTTTCTTTCTTTCTTTCTATGTTAAGGCTTAACTTTAATGGTAACTTAAACGGTATCTTAACGGTTAAAAACTGCGCCTCGGTGGCGTCTTTCTGACCCATCTCTGTCTCTTTACAGGAGGCGCGTGGGAATTGTAGTCCTTTATACGTTATTGACTACAAACGTCAGGATTAGGTGGCCTTTTTTAAATAAAAACTAAATGCTGGCTCTAACAATCACAGTTGATCACCATGGCCAGAAACGTTAGCTATGAACTTAGTCTTGTCCTAAAACAAGCAATAATCCTCTCGACTCCAACCACTGTACCATCCTTGAAAAACACAATTTCTTGAGTTTCGACAATTGGAAGTCTTTTAAAAGTATGTGTTTTTTTTATAGTCCATGTAAATGTTTACATGGATTGCCTGCCCCCCCCCCCCCCCCCCCCCCTTAGGGGAATCCATCCACAGAAAACACACTGGACGCTGCACTAGGTCAGAAAACAGAGGACACTGTGAAGTCCACCACAGACGGACCACTTTCGGGCAAAATGTCCTCTCCGTTAAAGGCAGCTCTTTGTGGAATAGCCTCCCAACTGAGATACGGGATTGTCCCACTCTCAATAGTTTTAAAGGTCAACTCAAAGAATGGTTGAGAAACAAACAGACGTGTAATCACCGCTCAATGCACTTTAACACAGGGGTATCTCCTCTTGCACTTTAGGTAGCACTTCTATCTTCTCCTGCACTTTATATATGCTAGCTGCTATATTGTGCTGCCATGTGGTAAATGCTTGTATGCTGCTCATGCTCTTTTGCATATCATGTATTTATTTTTGCTGTGTTTATAAATGTCATGTTCTTAAATGTTGTATGTGAGGGACTACGGATGGAAATTAGCTCAAAGCTAAAAATCCGGCATGTTTACGTTTTAAAGCATTATTTGTTTTAAATGTTGATCAATGTGCACTGTCCCTTTCAAATAAACGATTAATCTAAGCTAATCTAACCGGATTTACACTCCCTGTTTTCTAGACTATTCCCTTTCTTTTTTTAATAACAATTAACTCAAAACAAATAATTCAATTCAAAGGCTTTATTGTCAAATGCACATAAGCTACAGAATGTAAAATGTAATATTGTACAGTAAAATGAAATTACTGTTTATTACGGTGATAACTATTGAGATAAATACATTGTAAGGCAAGGCAAGGCAAGTTTATTTATATAGCACTTTTCTGTACGCGACAATTCAAAGTGCTTTACAAAACAAATTAAAAGACTTTTTATGAATAAATACAGTAAAAACACATTATATAATGGCATTTTACAACAGGCATTACAAAGCAAAGATAATAAAATAATTAAAATAAACACCACAGGTATACAATACATGTTTAAAAGGCATACTGTAGTTCGAATATGAGCAGCTCAATTAAAAGCAGCGGCAAAGAGATATGTTTTTAGTTTCGATTTAAAAATGGTAAGCGTTTCTGCGGACGTGCATGATTTGGGTAGTTTGTTCCAGAGCTAAATGCTGCCTCTCCATGTTTTGTTGTTACTCTCGGAACCGATAGCAGACCCGTCCCAGAAGACCTGAGGCACCTTGATGGCTCGTAATTGTGTAGGAGTTCATCAATATACTTTGGTCCTAAACCATGTAATGATTTAAAAACTAGCAATAGTACTTTAAAATCAATTCTTTGGCCGACTGGAAGCCAATGTAAAGATTTCAGAACCGGACTGATGTGATCCACTCTTTTAGTGTTAGTGAGGACACGTGCAGCAGCGTTCTGAATCAGCTGCAGCTTTCTGATGGATTTTTTAGTCAGCCCTGTGAATACACTATTGCAGTA